TAGTGGCACTCGCGGTGGCGCTGTTCAGTGGGGATTTTCTGGCAAAGGCCAGATGCAGCTGCGGCGGCTTCCGCGCGTGACCCTTACGTCCCAGCAGCTCCGTGAGTGGTACGCTCAGCGTGGGGCGTCTCGGAGTACTGCTCGCTGTCCGTACGTCATTCGCACAGGTGATCGGGCTGGTCAGACTTGCGGGACACCTGGCCACACACAGTCCCGCTGCTTCGCCTGTCTGAGCGACGCCTAGTGCACAGAGCTTGGCACCGAGGCTGAGCTCCCCCGCTGGCTAGAGCTGTTTCAGAACAAAGGACGGCATATATTCGCTTTGTTCTGGAGGGCATATATTCGCTTTGTTCTGGAAGGCACGGCTTTGACGGCTTTGTTCTGGAGGGCATATATTCGCTTTGTTCTGGAGGGCATATATTCGCTTTGTTCTGGAACAAAGCGAATGAAGCGAGTCTGCTCTAGACTATGACGCTTTGTTCAGAACAAAGGATGGCATATATTCGCTTTCATAACAAATATATGCTCTAGACTATGACGCTTTTCTGCACGGACCTTCCCGTCCTGCGCAACACTCTGACAGAGGTGGTGAGTTCTCCTCCAACCTCTTGCGGGACTTTTGTCGTGGGGAGGGCATCCTCCAGTCGTTCACGCTTCCGGCCTCCCCGCAGCAGAATGGGATTGCAGAGCGCCGCATTGGCTTAGTCATGGATGTCGCTCGTACCTCCATGATCCATGCGGCTGCTCCTCATATTCTGTGGCCGTTTGCGGTCCGGTATGCTGCGCATCAGCTCAACCTCTGGCCCCATGTCTCCTTGCCAGAGACCTCGCCTACACTGCGTTGGACGGGGGAGGTTGGCGATGCGTCGCAATTCCGGGTCTGGGGCTCTCGTGCGTTTGTCCGCGATACCTCCGCGAACAAGCTCTCCTCTCGCGCCATCCCCTGCGGCTTTCCCACTGACGCGCCTGGCTGGCAGTTTTACCACCCCACCTCGTGTCGTGTTTTGTCCTCTTTGGACGTCACGTTTGACGAGTCGGTTCCCTTTTACCGTCTCTTCCCCTACCGCACTGCCCCTCTCCCCCCCCCGCCGCTCTTCCTCGCTCCAGGTCCCCCTCCGGTAGACCCCCTCCCCTCTCACGGTCCTGCTCCTTCAGGTGTGTCTCAGGTAGACCCACTTCCCTTGGCTGAGCCTGTCGAGGTCACTGGTGACTCTGGTGCTGCTGGGGGTGGTGCTGCTCGGGGTACTGCGTCTGGGGGTGCTGAGCCTGAGCGTGCGGAGCCTAGGGGTGCTGAGCCTGAGCGTGCGGAGCCTAGGGGTGCTGAGCCTAAGCGTGCGATGCCTGAGGGTGCTGAGCCTGGGGGTGCTGCGTCTAGGGGTGCTGAGTCTGGGGGTACTGCGTCTGCTGGTCGTCCTCCGGGTGCCTCGCCGCAGCAGTCTAGCCAGCAAGAGCCTCTCTCACCACAGCAGCTGCGCGAGTGGTTTGCTCGGCGCACCCGCCTTCGGAGTCGAGCTGCTGGAGCTGGAGGCACTGGAGCTGGAGGCACTGGCGCTGGAGGCGCTGGAGCTGCAGGAGCTAGAGCTGGAGGCGCTGGAGCTGGAGGCGCTGGCGCTGGAGGTGCTGGAGCTGGAGGTGCTGGAGCTGGAGGCACTGGCGCTGGAGGCGCTGGAGCTGGAGGTGCTGGAGTTGCAGACGCTGGAGCTGGAGGCACTGAAGCCGGAGGCACTGGAGCTGGAGGCCCTGGAGCTGGAGGCGCTGACGCCGGAGGTACTGGGGCTGGAAGTACTGGTGGTCCTTGGGTTGCTCGTCCTCGAGGTACTGGTGCTGGCGGCACGGTGGAGCCTCTCTCCCCACAGCAGCTGCGCGAGTGGTTTGCTCGGCGCACCCGCCTTCGGAATCGCGCTGCTGTAGCTGGAGGAGCTAGAGCTGGAGGTGCTGGATCTGTAGGCGTAGGCGCTGGAGGCGCTGGAGCTGGAGGTGCTGGAGCTGGAGGCACTGGAGCTGGAGTCACTGGAACTGGCGACGCTGGAGCTGGAGCCGCTGGAGCTAGTGGCACTCGAGCTGGAGGCACTGGAGCTGCACGCGCTGGAGCTGTGGGCGCTGTCGCTGGAGGCACCGGAGCTGGAGGTGCTGGAGCTATGGGCCCAGTGCAGCAGCATCCGTTTTTCTTGCCGCCGCCGCAGTTGTCCTCACTACCGCCCGAGTCGGTGCTCCGTCAGGTTCTTAGTCTTCCTTCGTCCACTGCCCTTCCTCCTGACTCACCGCTGCCTGCCCCACCTCGTTACACTGAGCAGCCAGCCTCCCTTACAGAGCGTTGTGAGCCTGCGTCTCGTCCTGCCTCCCCTGTTCGCACTGTTTGCTGTGCTTGTCCGTCGTGTCCCTCGTCCGCGTCCTCCTCCTGTGCCAGGTACTCACACTATGGCACTTCGTCCTTCCTCTGTTCCACAGCGTGTCCCTCTGCCATCTCCTCCTGCGTCCTCTCTTCCTGACGTTCCGGACCCTGAGTCTGACTTGGTTCGTGCTGCCAGCCCTACTATTACGCGTCTTCTGGCTACTACTGCGTCTGCCTTAGTTGTTGAGCTTGTGGACTTCGCTGTTGCGTATCGTCTAGACTACGCCGCTAGTCTTGTTGCTGAGTCTGAGTCTGTCTGTCCTCTGTCCGTCGGGGGTGAGTGTGCTCTTAGCACAGACGTCCTTGAGGACAGGCAAGAGGACTTTGAGTGTCTTGCGGCTGCTGTACCTCATCTCGTGGCCTGGCTGCTTGCACCTGAGGGAGACCCGGATGCACTGGACATCCCGACCCCGCGCTCTTACAAAGAGGCGATTACAGGTCCCTACTCCTCTCAGTGGCAGACAGCCATGGACGCAGAGATGGCATCCTGGAAGTCCACAGGCACCTACGTCGATGCAGTTCCCCCTCCTGGGGCAAATATTGTCCACGGCATGTGGATTTTCAGGGTGAAGCGGCCGCCGGGTTCTCCGCCTGTCTTCAAGGCTCGTTACATTGCACAAGGCTTCAGACAGCGACAGGGGTTGACTTCTTCCAGACCTTCTCCCCTACCCCGAAGATGACCACTCTTCGGGTGCTACTGCACGTTGCCACTCAGCGTGACTACGAGCTTCACTCTCTTGACTTCAGCACAGCGTTCTTACAGGGCAGCCTGCACGAGGAGATCTGGCTGCGCCGCCCACCTGGCTTCACTGGGTCATTTCCTCCTGGCACCCAGTGGAGCCTCCGGCGGCCAGTCTACGGTCTCCGCCAGGCGCCTCGTGAGTGGCACGACACACTGAGGACGACACTTGCGGCTCTTGGGTTTGCTCCTTCCACTACTGACCCGTCGCTGTTACTTCGCATCGACACTTCACTGCCGCCGTTCTACATCCTCGTGTACATCGACGACTTGGTTTTTTTTCCACTGCTGACACTGAGGCACTGGCCCTTGTGAAGTCGGAGCTGCAAAAGAGACACACGAGCACAGGCCTGGGTGAGCTGCGCAACTATCTTGGCTTGCAGATCACCCGGGACAGAGCACGGCACACCATCACCCTGACTCAGTCACACATGGTGCAGCAGGTCCTTCAGCGCTTCGGCTTCCAGTTCTCCTCACCACATTCCATTCCTCTGCCTACCGGTCACTCGCTCTTAGCTCCACCTTCGGACGAGTCCGTAGAGCCGAGTGGCCCGTATCCAGAGCTGGTGGGCTGCCTCATGTACCTGATGACCTGCACGCGACCTGACCTTACATACCCTCTTAGCATCCTGGCTTGCTACGTTGCGCCTGGGAGACACAGGCGAGAGCACTGGGAGGCTGCTAAGAGGGTGATGTGCTACTTGTGCACTACATCGTGCATGGGGCTAGTGCTGGGAGGACAGGGTCCAGTTGTCATCACTTGACACTCAGACGCCTCTTGGGTTGACGACCTGGCTACGCAGCGGTCGTCACACGGTTACACGTTCAGCCTTGGTAACGGCTCTGTTTCTTGGCGGTCTACCCGCTCATCTTCTGTTCTTAGCTCTAGTTGTGAGGCTGAGATCTACGCCACAGCCATGGCTGCTCAGGAGTTACGCTGGCTCACCTACCTGCTGACCGACTTGGGAGAGCGGCCTAGTTCTCCTCCAGTTCTGTACGTAGACAACAAGGCCGCTATCGCCTTGTGTCAGGAGCACAGACTGGAGCACAGAACGAAGCACATCGCTCTGTGTTACTTCCTTGCTCGAGAGTTGCAGCAGCGTGGCCAGCTTCGTCTTGCTTACGTGGCCACCCGGGCCAACACAGCTGATATATTCACCAAGGCACTTTCACCTAGTGATCATCAGCGTCTCTGTACTGCTTTAGGCCTCGTGCCTACGTTTTCTCACTTGCTCACTGCGTGACTTTGCTTGTACTGTGATCTATATATATACCTGCATGCTTAGACTTACTAGGTTGTGATCACTGTACTGTTTGCTCTGTTTTATATAACTCTGCATGTGAACTGGCCTTGTGGCCATTTGCTTGTGCTTGGAATGTGTGGTGACTTCGTGATCCACCCTGAGCTTGCTTTGCTTTTCTGTGACTGCTTGTACTCCCCCACCTTGCCTATGGGGGTGTGTCCGAACATTGTGATGTGTAGGCTGTAGTGGGGTAGCCAATATGGGGTACAACCCAGTTAGGGTTAGTACTTGTACCAAACTCATTGCTAGTTCATTTATTCCTGTTGCTAGATTCTGACAAGATCCAATCCCTGCCCTCATTTTTTTCCTCCGTGGTTTGTGTCTTGACCTCCTCCTCCCCCCCCTACCCCCCCTTCCCCTTTTCCCCCCCTCCCCGTTATGAAGCTACGTTTCGAGTTCACATATTACCCCCTCTTCAACCAAGTCTTGAGACCCAGAAGCCTCGCTAATTCTCCCACCCCCCTTCTCCTTCCTCCCGCTCCTCCCCCTTCTCCCACTGCAGTTGCTAGTGTGTAGCAAGAAGTGCTGCCATGGGAGCACGTTCAATCTTGCATCTTACTTCCGCATGGACCAAGGCTTGGCCAAGAACGACAAGACGGCGTGGCACTGCCCTATTTGCTACCAGCCGCTGCTGTGGTTCGAGATGTTTCTGGATGGGTTCAGTTAGTACATATGTGAATCATATGAGAGCACAATGTACCGCACATCACCCCTCCAAAACCCATCGCTCCGCACTGCACTCCATAGCATCAGACTCCACCAGCATGCACCCCACCACTGCAAAAGATGCTCCAAGTAATGAGTATGACGAGTGGGAGGCGGGCGGCGTTCCACATGGCGGATGCAGGAGGGCGGCGTTCCACATGGCGGATGCAGGCGGGCGGCGTTCCACATGGCGGATGCAGGCGGGCGGCGTTCCACATGGCGGATGCAGGCGGGCGGCGTTCCACATGGCGGATGCAGGCGGGCGGCGTTCCACATGGCGGATGCAGGCGGGCGGCGTTCCACATGGCGGATGCAGGCGGGCGGCGTTCCACATGGCGGATGCAGGCGGGCGGCGTTCCACATGGCGGATGCAGGCGGGCGGCGTTCCACATGGCGGATGCAGGCGGGCGGCGTTCCACATGGCGGATGCAGGCGGGCGGCGTTCCACATGGCGGATGCAGGCGGGCGGCGTTCCACATGGCGGATGCAGGCGGGCGGCGTTCCACATGGCGGATGCAGGCGGGCGGCGTTCCACATGGCGGATGCAGGCGGGCGGCGTTCCACATGGCGGATGCAGGCGGGCGGCGTTCCACATGGCGGATGCAGGCGGGCGGCGTTCCACATGGCGGATGCAGGCGGGCGGCGTTCCACATGGCGGATGCAGGCGGGCGGCGTTCCACATGGCGGATGCAGGCGGGCGGCGTTCCACATGGCGGATGCAGGCGGGCGGCGTTCCACATGGCAGTTGTGCCGACTCAGATGGAACTCAACAATTTCTCCGCTCCTTCGCTCTCCCAAAACTGTCTTTTCAAATGAGGTGGAGGAAAAAATGGAGGTGCTTTCAGATGGCAGGTGGAGAAGGGTGGAGTGTGGTAATGGGGCTGCTGGCACTCACTACTTCCCTGTGCTTCTCATCCGTTCCCCTCTTCCCTCTCTTCCTCCCCCACTTTCCCCACGTCTCCCCCTCCCTGCCCATCAGTGCAAAAGATTCCTGGAGGAGGATCGAAGAAGAGGATGGCAAGGTGGAGCAGTTTTTGGTGGTAGCCTGGTAGGTATAGGCGGGTGGTGAGCGGGAGCGGGACTGATGACTCATCCTTTTCCCTTCTTTTCTTTCGCCCTCTCTTCTGCCCCCCTTCACTGCACCGCACTACACTACACCCCACCGATCTCCCAATAGTGCAAAAGATTCTTGAAGAAACGAGTGAGGAGGACAGCGAGGTGGAAGTGTTTCCGGATGGCAGGTGGAGAAGGGTGGAGAGCGGTGATGGGGAGGACGGTAGCTGTTCCGAGTCAGACGAGGAGGAGAGGTTGATTCTGAATGCGTGGAAGAGGGGAGAGGAGGAGAAGAGGAAGAAGGAGGAGGAGGGGGGGGGGGGGTGTGGAGGAGGAGAGGAGGGGGTTGGCGGGAGGGGCCGAGGGAGATGGAATGGGATTGAGTGTGGTTGGGGGTGAGGAGGAGCGAGGGATGGAGGGTGGATCAGCGGACGGGAGAGGGAGTGACGAGGATGGAGGGGGGGACGTGAGGAAGACTGTTGGGGAGGAGGAGAGGGAGAGAGTGATAGAGGGAGAGTTGAGAGGGAAGGGAGTGACAGAGGGGGAGTGGCGGACAGAGGAAAGAAACCAGGTGCAGGGGGGGGAAGGGGTGGGAGTTACTGGTGGTAATCAGCATGTGAATGGTGGTAACTGGCACGTGAATGGTGGTAACCAGAAGCAAGAGTCCCTGCTCGAGTTGAGGGCGGAGAAAGAGGCATTGCTCAAGCAGTTGCATGCAGTGAATCAGCGCCTTGCCATGGGGAAAACACTAGAGGCGGAGGAGGAAGGCCGTAGGGTTGAGCAGCATGGAGCACAGGCACGTGACAGCAGCACAGCTGTAGGTTTGAGTGCTTGGGCTGCTGCTGGGCCTCCTCTGAGCTCTGCCAGCCCTCTGAACTCTCGTGCTGCTGCTGCGGCAGAAGGATTTGCTGCACGAGCAGCAGTAGCAGACGTGGCAGCTGCAGCACCACCCCCACATAGAGCAGTCGGACCCGAGCCGGCCACTCGCCCAGCAGCAGTGCCAAGGGCCTTACTGCCGGTGGATGTCTATGGGGCGATGAAGCAAGTTAACAGCAGCAACAGCAGCAGCAAGCAGGATCAGCCGTGGCAGGGGAAACTGCCGCAGGGGTACAGAGCAGACGAGAGTGGCCCAAGCAGGGTGGAAGGGGAGCTGGTTGGCTGCGGTAGCAGCAGCCCTGGGGCGAGGGCGAGTGGGAGAGCGACCGGTGTAGCGGATGACGGTGGGGGGGAGAAGGTGGACGGCGGGTGCGGCGAGGTGGGGCCAGCATAGAGGGAACTGGGGGAGGCATGGGGGTGCTTCTTGTTCCTGCTGGTGCTGCTTCTCCAGCCGTGTCTGCTGATCGTGTTATGACTTCTGTTCTTCCTGTTTCCTCATCCCAAAACCATGCTTCGTCTGCTACTGCTGTTGGTGCTGGCGAGTCTTCCATACCATTGGCGATGGAGGATGTGGAATGTGCTTTCCCTACTGCTCCCCCTACTGCTCCTGCTACCGCTCGTGCTGCCACTACTGTTGCTGCCCCCACTACTGCTCCTGCCGTTGCTCCTGCTGCTGCTCCCGCTGCTCCTGCTGCTGCTGCTGCTGCTGCTGCCGCTGCTCCTGCTGCTCCTGCCACTGCTCCTACTGCTGCTCCTGCTGCTCCTGCCGCTGCTCTTGTTGCTCCTGCCGCTGCTCCTGCTGCTCCTGCCGCTGCTCCTGCTGCTCCTGCTGCTGCTCCTGCTGCTCCTGCTCCTGCTGCTCCTGCTGCTCCTGCTGCTCCTCCTGCTGCTCCTGCTCCTGCTCCTGCTGCTCCTGCTCCTGCTCCTGCTGCTCCTGCTGCTGCTCCTGCTGCTGCTCCTGCTGCTCCTGCTGCGCCTGCTGCTTCTCCTGTTGCTGCTGCTGCTGGTGCCACTGCTGGTGTCGCTGCTGGTGGGATCCAGCAGCACGTTGCTGATGCAGTTTCGCCATCAACACTTGTTCCCAACTCTCCTTTGGAGGGGGCACTGGGCACGGTGTTTCAGGCAAGGTGTCAGACATTGAAGGCGCTGCCGCAGGAGATGCAGCGTCAGCAGCAACGGTCCAACAGTGCATTGCTGGTAGGGGCGGCAGCAGTAGCAGAGGCAGCAGCAGCAGCATTAACATCAGCAATGCGCTACCAAACCTCTGTCCCAACTGCAGGGGCAGCGATCCAGCAGCGCATTGCTGATATTGCTGCTTTTTCTGCCACCTCTTCTGCTGCTGTTGTTGCCACCCCTTCTGCTGCTGCTGTTGCTGCTGCTGCTGCTTCTGCTGCAGCTGCTGCAGTCGCTACACCTTCTTTTGCTGCTGTTGCTGCTGCTGCTGCTGCTGCTCCTCCTCCTGCTGCTGCTCCTCCTGCTGCTGCTTTGTCTGCTGCCACCCCTTCTGCTGCTGCTGATGCTGCCACCACTACTTCTGCTGCTGCTTTTGCATCTGTCGAGACAGCAGCCCCCTCGCCCCCTCGTGTGAGGCTTGAGCTCCCCCCTGTTGCCATTGTGAACCAGCTTATGGCCACCATCAAGCAACTGGGGACGAAGCTTGTATGTGGGTACTTGGAGGAAGGTTTGAGTGCCATCTTTGAGGATTTGACGATGCTACAGGACTCGCTTTATTCTAGTGAACATATCGTATGTGTGAAGAGTGGAGGAAGGTCTGAGTGGAGACGGCGTCAGTGGGGTGGAGGTACTCCAATCAAGAAAGGTGGAGTCACTGGGGTGCAGCTGGTTGACGACAACAAGAGAATTCGAGCCGTATTCTTCTACGGTGGGCCACCGAAGGTGAGCCACCCTATTGGCAGGTGGCAGGACCAGTCAATGTCGAGCCTTTTCAAGGCGAGGCAATCCGCCCTCTTTGCGTTCTATTTGTTTAGGAGGGCCGACCAGAGGGAGTCGCTGTACAGTTATACCTGGGAGAGGCTCTCATGTGTGAGCTGGAGAAGCCGTCCAACAACGACCTTCCTCGGATCGTGGAAGCCCTTGTTACGAGCAGCGAAGAGCGGATTCCCCCTATCAGCAGAGGAGGTCTTGGCGGCAAAGGAGGTCATGGCAGCAGAGGAGGCCGTGGCAGCAGAGGAGGCAACAGCAGAGGATGACTCAGCAACAGAGGATGAGTGTGAAGGTGCACCGAAGGAAGCTTGCACAGGCGTTATGGAGTCGGCAACTGGTTCCCCTAGCTGGCAGGTCCATCTGCAAGCATTCTGCATGGAGTTGGAGCGGTTGATTAGGGGCCTTCGGGAGGGGCAGCAGGTGGCCGCCGAAGTCTGGCGCCGGCTGCATGAAGCCGAGATGCTACTGAATGAGTGGCGATTTCCTGACGTCTTTCGCAGCAAGGACGGGAGGACTCAAGCAGTTTTTGTCTGTAATGGCAGTAAGCGCTCTCTCGGAACATGGTATGACCATTCAGAGCGGTCATTTGTTACGGCCAAGAAGGCAATACTGTGCGCTGAGTTCATCTTTGAGTGGAGGGACCAGATAGCGGAGGCTGGAGGGACGGAACTGCAGTGTGGGTAGAGGAAGCCATATGAAGAGTTTCTTGGAAAGGATTTGATGAGCAAGCTGCAGGAGGCCACGGAAGAGCAGGCACGGTTGGCCATCGAATCAAGCAGCTGGCGTCGATTTATTAGGAGGAATGAGAAAGCTCGCAAGGGGGAAGCTATCAATGAGACATGGCCCAGTGCGCTGGACATTAAGCTGCTTAAAATGGTTTGGCGGGAGAAGAAGAGGAGGAGGAACGACGAGGGGGGGGGAGGAGGAGAA